AAAAAAAAAAATTGGGATTGGATGGGGGCCAATTTAAAATATTAAAGCCAGTGGAAATCACAATTTTAAAAGCCCCTACCTCTTATAAAATGATGTGTATCATCAGAACGATCCACAATAAACATAATTAGCAGGTTAGCATTTTTTATAATTTTGTGACACATATCAATCAAACATGTTGGTCCATAGCATAAACAAAGTACACAACCGTGGTCTTTGCGTTATATAGCACTATGGAAGAAATTGAAACATCTAATTCTTTGAAAAAAACTCCAAGTCTTAATAACATATGACACCTTAAAATGCAAGGGGATTTTTCTGTTATTCTTATGTAATACATGAATCTGTGGCTAGGCAAATTAAATACAGGGTATCAATGCCATAGTGAACAGTTATTTTTAGAGACAAAAGATGCATGGCTTTAGCATTCAGGTGTTTTACATACACTGTGCTGAAATTTGGCTGAAATCCATGTTTAATGCATATCTTGGAAAGGGTTGGTCTCTTAAATCAAGACAAAGCCTGCCTGCCAAGGAAGTACTGGCTTGTTACAAGGATCACTATAATGTCACAATCTCAAGGGTATACTCCAGGAAGGAAGATTGGTGTCAAATGTTTATGTCATCTGTAAAGCACAGTGAATTGACAATACGCTGTAAAAGAAGAAATAGAAAGATTTTTATCTGAGTTCTCACTTGGAATGTGAATGGAATTTTCTAGACTAACTCCTTTCCACATTATTCATATATTTGGTTTGCTCCTCTCTTCAATGAAAACTCCGGAAGAGAATTATATATATATATACATTTATATATACATATATATGTATATATATATAACTTTTAAAGCGTTGCAATTACAGCAGCTGTTTTTAAGTCCAAAGATATGACATAGTAAGCAGTCATTGAATAAACATAACCTACTTTGAGGTGTGAGAGCATACTGAAATGCTTTATTGCAGCTTATAATGGCATCTTAAAGGAAAATTTCAAAACCATGCACATTGAAGGCCATGTTCCAACTCCCCAGAATTGTTCAGAGCAGTATTCAGAAGCCACATGTGAAAACTGTTTGAAATGTTCAATTCTGAAGGCTCATTTAACTGTCTGTCTTCTCTTTGCAAAGTGATACCCTGTTCCATGCCTCTGGCTGTTATTTGGTATTTATAGAATCCCATCAGCATACGTGGAACTTTACTGAAGACATAAGCGAAGATCAGTGTCAAAGACTGTAAACTATTTTCCATTCTATTTATATGAGCTTAATAAACAGCAAAGGGCCTGACTGGTATCAAGCCAATAGAGTAGTAATGTAGCATGGAAATTGCTCTGAAGTTTCAGATTTGGATAATTCTACTACTGGTGTTACCAAATACTACAGTTCTTCTGTAGGATACTTAGAAATAGAAACAGCACTTTAAAAATATTTTGCCACTCTTGACTGAGCCTGATAGGCACGCCTTTTAACTCTAACCACCCTACCTTCTTGCTTAATGAAGCCCTGAAGAAGACTGCCAGCTATTCAAACACTCTCCACCTAGGATGGTGTTTCTTAACCTACATATCATGTATACTGGCATGCTTTCTGAGTAAGCAATAAAGGGAGTTGAGTCCTAGCTAGCACATGTGCATTCCAGGGAACGTTCTCATGGGATTCTGTTGCATTTCTAAACATCCTTGTAATGGAAAATCCTAGGAGAATTGCTTGTCTTAGAAATTCTTCTTTCTCCCTTTAGTAAGTTTGCAATTAGAAAATGCCAAATGTATAGGATTGAAAATTAGTGTATTGGAATGTAGAAGTGACATGTGAAGAAAGTTTTCATCAATAAGTAAATCTGAAATAGGCAGAATTCTGATATGTACTTAAGAGGCAGTTCGTTCCAAAGGATATGAGCAAAAATCAGTGGTTGGTGTGTAAAATATCTGCGGGCAAGAGTGATCAGTTTGTACGTGGTAGAGGTTTGGTGCCAGAAAATAATAAGTGATACATTTTGAAAATAATTTGAAGACATATTTCTTAAGGAGATAACTATTCATTGGATATCTATTTTTTCCCAGGCGTCCTCTCATTTTCCGCTCATAACTACTGTAGAATTGCATTACTCAGTTCACATCAAATTATACTTTGTACTCAACAACGTTCTGAAAAATAAAGCTTGAGATAAAAATACTTATGGAGTAACTTGTGCTCATTTTTTTTTATCCACTCTGTGTGTAGAAAAACCATGTGCCTTGTTTTGCTCTCCTGTTGGGAAAGAACAGCCTATCCTTCTATCAGAAAAAGTAATGGATGGAACTTCATGTGGATATCAGGGATTAGATGTCTGTGCAAATGGCAGGTGTCAGGTAAGACTTTTAAGAAGGGGGACTATGTGCTGAAGGAGGCTATGAGTGCCTTTGGGTAGCTGCACAGTATGGTGGAAAACTCTGTGCCCAGACTCAAAAGCTGTGGATTTAGTTCTCACTCAGCTGTCATCCTGAGCAAGTCTGATCTGCTTTGAAACCCCTTGTCTTCAGAAACCAGGGTTTGGACTAGATCATCTTAAAATCCATGACCAGCTGAAAGACCCTGAGATTTTAATTCTGTAGTGTAAATATTATACATCTAAAATGGCATTTTCTGTCAAAATATTCCAGACCCAAAATTCAAGCACTGCACTTCTCCATATCTTGTGTCCAAGGCTGAGCTGTGTGGCAAAAACCTATAAAATCCATCCTATTACTCACTTAATATTGAAGCATTTTCAACATACTGGAAACAACTGATTTTCAAATATATATTCAGTTTTATTACAATGCTTAAACATCTCATTTGCTTATATCTTTCTTTTTAAAAACCATTTCCATTGGGGCACCTGGGTGGCTCAGTCGGTTGAGCTGCCGGCTTGGGCTCAGGTCATGATCTCACGGCTCATGGGTTTGAGCCCTGCATCAGGCTCTGTACTGACAGCTCAGATTCTGGAGCCTGCTTCAGATTCTGTGTCTCCCTCTCTCTGTGTTCCTCCCCCGCTTGCTCTCTCTCTATCTCTCTTTCAAAAATAAAGATTAAAAAAAATTTCCATTTGCTACATGCATTGATGCAGTCTTCACTTATCTTGAGAAAAGTAGAAATTCTCTTATAGCAAGTGTGGACAGCAGAGTGGGAGAGATCAAAGGCTAGAAGTTAGAAGTTGCTGCTTATAATTCTACCGCTATCTCAAATTGGCTTTCCCTGGGAGATTAATAAACTGGAGAGGTTAATGCCAAGTGTCTGTATGATCACCATCCATGCTGGGAGGGGAAGGAGCCAGGGTCAGGCACAGCGAGAAAGTGTGCTATGGTACAGTCACAACAGGCTACCATGTGAGGAGCATTGAAGCTGGGATGGCTCTTCAGAGTTGTCCTCATTTGGGGTGAGAAAACCAGGCCTTTTTACCCTTAGCATCTACTCGTGTCTGGATGCAAGCTGCCCTAGGAGGGAGATGGGACCTTAGGAAAGGCAGTTTTCTTCCATCTAGGCAATTTCTGATGAGATCCATTGGCTAATGAACTTAATGGGCATGGGAAGGAAATAAATCCCTTAGTTAGGAAAGAAGCATCTGAGTGGAGCGGTACTGAATCCATGACAGCCACTAAGAAATGACATTCTTATGAAAATCACTGAAAATGTGTTATACACCTATTAACCAGTCTGTCAAATGAAGTTGGTAAACCAATGGTCATTGACTTTTTTGTACAATACACTCCTTTGAGAGTCTGATGAAAGGTTTCCTTTTTTCCCCAGAAAATGCACGCCTGTGCGTACATACACACATGCACATGCGCCAAAATTTGAAAACATGTACAAGGTGTGGGTGGACCAACCTGTGTTCCAGTAGAGACCTACGGAACTCTGGGTAAAAACTTGGAAACAACATGGAACTTAAATGCTTTACCAACTCTAAGATTTTATGTTTTGCCCGCATTCTATAGAATTGAAAGCACAGAATCATGTAATACATTGGCATAAGAAACAGTCTTATAATTACATAGTAATTTCCTTTATTCTTTAACAGCTTGTGTCAGTTACCTGAAATGTAATTGTTTCATTTGCCTGTAAAAAAAAAAACATTGCAGACATTTACCTATACATGTTTTGTTTTCAGACCTGAATGTTGTGCAGTTAAAGCTTTTAACTTTATTTCGTCACTGTATGTAAGTCTGTCAGATTAAAGTTTGTCTTCAATGCATTTATTTTTCAAAAAAAGGCATTTTCCTAAATGTATATGCTAAATACAATAGCCTAAATTGCCCATGTTTTCACTTAACAGTATTGTGTAAGCTAGATATTTTTACAGAGTTCCTAGCTAGACATCAAAATTAAAACAACAGCAACAAAAAAAATTCTGCGTAAGTGCCACGTGAATCTGATGGTTACAATTAAGTTCCACGAAATGGATTGTGACTTCTGACAGAGTTGGAATACTTCAACATTCTGGCTTTTAACTAAAATGCTACATTCAGTCTTTCCATATAATTAAAAGCATGCTACTTTTTTCTTTCTGACGACCTCCTGTTTTTCAGGTTTCGCTACACAAAATACATAGCACCAAAACTGAATGTACAATTGTATACTTGGAGAGGGACGAAGAAGGGCAGTTGAAAATAGATAGCTTTTGGGGTGCCTGGGTGGCTCTGTTGGTTAAGTGTCTGACTGTTGGTTTTGGCTCAGGTCATAATCTCATGGTTTGTGAGTTCGAGCCCCACATCAGGGTCTGTGCTGACAGTGCAGAGCCTGCTTAGGATTCTCTCTCTCCCTCTCCCTCTGCCCTTCCCCTGCGCTCTCTCTCTCTCTCAAAATAAATAAGTGAACTTTAAAAATTAAAAAAAAAGAAGAAAATAGCTTTCTCCTCGTGACCCATTTTGTCTCTGTGATATTTCTGTCCCAGAAAAGGATAGAAAAAGCTCTCTTCTGTATTATGTTATCTGCCCATCTCCAGGACACCAGTGGTATTTCAGGTGGCCACCCCAATTAAATTACATTACCTTCTCAAAGGCATTCATCCTCAATGTCTGGAGATATATAAGCATATTGTGATAAGTATGGGTACTTGACACTAAATTACAAAATAAAAAATCTTTGATTCTTATTTTTAAAATCCATGATTGTTGAGCTATGACATTATGTCTATCCCTGGCTTTTATATTAGGTGGACAGAATTATAGTATCCCAGTTACAAGGGTTGGAAAAAAATTAATAAACCAGTAGGTACTAATTTATTCAGTCATTTAACTACTATTTATTGGGTTTATTGTATTTGCCAAGAAACAAACTAGGGATAGAGCATTAGAGTTGTTGGTTTTTTTTTTTCATTTCAAAACCACTCTACACTCTACTGTAAATTTGTCCTCATTTGTATGTAAATGAGATTTTTTTTTTCCCCCTCACACCAGGACTCTCAGGTCTTTTCATGGCTCCCGCTTAGTGAGCTCTTACCCTACCTTTGTTGTATTTTGAGAATTTCCTGTGGTGGCCACCTCTTTCATCCACAGACATTCTTTCTATTTCTCCCTGAATACGCTTTGATTTGCAGATCAAGCTTCTCTACTAATGCATTGCTTTGCTACCTCTTGACAGTGATATATCCCCCTGGATAAAAGGAAAGGATGCTATATTATGCAGGTTTAATGTGATTTTTGCCTTCTCAGGATATTCATCATCCGCTTGCACCACCAACACTAACCACAGGAAAAAAACCTGTTTTTGTTCCTGTTTCATATAATGTTTTTTAAATTCCTCTAAAATAATTGTAACTTGCTACAAATGGATGTATCATCAAATCTCTCTTGCAACTCCTTCTTGGCTAAGGATAATTGTGTAATCCAACCATTTATTTCTGACAGTATTGACATATTAATTTCTGCCCTTTGAGTATTCAGAACATTGCATACTTACTTATAATCATATTTTCTGAACATCAATGGGAGACCAGCATTATTCACTAGAAAGGAGTCGATGATTTTATCCCAGAAGATTCATAATAATGTAATTCCTCTGGAAGCAAATTAAAATGAATGTCCCTGCTGTTCATATTTTCTTACAGCAGCCGTGCTAGATGCCAAAGAACATGAGGATAGAAGTTTGTTCATGAACTATGGTGAAAATAAACATATGTTTGATTTTCACAAAGTTAATCTTTAATAATTGAGCATTTGCTTTGGAACCACTTTAAGAAGTGAACCCTTCTATATATGAGTATATCTGTTCTATGTTAAGTAGAGTGAAGTAGATTAATCATGTTATATTTAATAGAAATGTGATTTCCTTGGGGATTTATATAAATTGCATTTGTCTCAATATTGTTTTTTTCCAAATTGCTTTAAGATACCATTTAATTCTTACTGTGAGAAAAATATTCTCATTGCTGTCCTGCTATTTGGTCACTTTACCAATGATATCATTTGACATGAGCTTGCTCTGTTAATTTGCACCAGAGAATATGACATTTTGCTCATTTGTCAATTAAATGTGTCTAGTGTGTAGATACTAGGTTCGTTCTAAATTAGTGGTGAAAAAAGCCAAAGTGGAAGAAAACTCACTTTATAATGTACTGTCAATCTCTTGTTACAGAAGGTTGGCTGTGATGGTTTTTTAGGGTCCCTTGCAAGGGAAGATCACTGTGGTGTATGCAATGGCAATGGAAAATCATGCAAAATTATTAAAGGAGATTTTAATCACACCAGAGGAGCAGGTAATTATTCTTTTAAATCTTTTCAAAAAAAAAATAAATAAATCTAAACCGTCTTTGGGAAAGAGATTACATGGAAGTTGACTTAGAAATCACAGTTCTGACTCCATCACTGAAGACTTTTTTAATGGATAGGAAGTGAGTTTTCGTGATGACATACAATACCTGTGACATGAGCCAGAGACTCTAACAAGCCCATGTCCCATTAATGTAAATATGAAGTCATCTGTTATGCATTTAATATATTGGAGCAGAAAGGGAATAATCTAATTTGCATTGGCTAATGCTATCAGGTTTCTAGAGATCTTATTCTCCAATGCAAAGCCTGATGTCTAACAGAGAATAATGATTTCTAACAGCGTGGAACAGCTATTGAGAGTATTAGTCTTCAGGTTTTCAGCCTTCCATTTTGTTTTTTGGTTTTTGGTTTTTTTTAATGTTTTTATTCACTTTGAAGGAATAAAATTTTGGAAACAGAGTCTATAGCAGTGTAGCATAGTGGAAATGATAACAGGGAGAATCAGAAGATGTTCCAGATACATGAATAGTGGAAAGTCATCCTTTCTTCTCTTGTTGCATCATCTCTAAGTACCAGTACTCAGGGGATGGAAGAATGAAATGACCATCAATGATCTATGTAGTGTGAGTTTTAAAGTGATCCACCACAAAAAGTGATACTGTCTGTACTGAAATATAATAACCTACAGATTTGCTTTATATACAGAAAACACCTTACACTCAGGTCCTCAAGCATACTGGGAGGAAGCAGACGTTTACATTAGTATCTTACCTGGATGTCTGTCTTTTAAACTATCTTATATTTATGATTATAATTTCATCATTATTAGCATGCTTAGACTACATACCTCAGCTTGTTCCTATTTTAAATTCTTTTCTTGTTCAAATATCAAAAAAACCTGAGACTAAAGTATGTATTAGTTTGAATACTAAGAACAACCATTTGTGTTTGAATAATCAAGATAGCGGAGTTCCCCTAGGTAAAAGAGTCCTTCGGAAAAGAAAATTAGACACAGCCCTCTAAAGTTGAATGTAACCTTTTGCTAGGCCCCAGCAGAATAAAAGATAAGTGAGCTTGGAGATCTTAAAGCCTAAAAATAACTGAGGCCCAGGGTAAAGTGTAGATCAAAACTCTCAACCTCCAAAGCTGTGAAAAATGTGACAGGTCCTACAAGTCAAAATCTGCCAGAGCTCATTTAGAAAAGTCATACTTAACTGTAATAGCCTCTCAGACTTTCAACTAAGAAGTACAGTTATAATAACCTTTCCAGGATGATTGTAGCGGAGGAGGGTTTCCAGTATGAAGTTAAAATGAAGCCTGAAAGACCAAAGGGGTTTAAAGATACAAGAATTTTTGATGACTATTCTTGCATGGTTATTTACTATGCATGGAAACAGCATGCATAGGCATTCAGCCCTGATATCTTTATTTAGTTGTAATAACACTTTTTTTTCCCACTGAGCATATAAAAGAGAAATACCAGTTTAAAAATTGCTTTCCTTTCTGACTGTAGTTATGTGGGTACATCTTCCCCCAGATTCTTACTTCAAACCTCCTTTGTTTTTACTGCACTTTAATTTCTACTTTTGTTCATTTGTTCATTTGCTGTTGGTAACTCGTGTTCATGGAATCTATTATTTGGAAAATGTCTGAGATGCCTAAGATACCGAGAATATCAGAGACTATTAATGTTGCTTTCCTCCTTCCAGATATATGCTAGCTTCACATGGCTCTCAGGGAAAAGACTAGAATTGTTAGTTTGGACCGTGAAGTCCTGCATGGTGTTGTACCTACCTGTCTCTCCGACATCGTCTCACACCATCATCCCTTTCCTTTCCAAATTTCTTACAGATGTTCAAATGACCATGCTCCCTTTAGCACCTTGCATTTAAAAATATGGCTCTTTTAGCTTTCTCTTAGCTTTGCTGGTTAATTCTAGACATCACTTAGATCTCAGTTCAGATGTCACTACTTCGGTGAGCACTGAAAACCTCTACCCCCATCACTAACAACTATTTTAGTGACACTATATTTGTATCCATATGGTGAGGTTCTAATCACATTTGTAAGTTTACATTTATTAATTTTTCTTTCCCTGCTAGTCTTTAAGATTAATGAGGAAAAATCTCATGATTATTTTTAACTCTATATTCCCAATGACCAGCACAGTGTGTGATCCATTAATATTTATCAATGTAATTCATAATGAAACATTATATTTTAGGAAGTCTTAAAAACAAAAATCTGTATGAGCCCTTAATTATATCGTGGGCTTCATCTCCTTGTGATTTAGGGAATGTTTTGTACATTTCTCTTCAGACAATTTTATCCTTATGTTTATGGACTTCCTAGAATTTCTTGAAGGAATTGTAGCCTTATTTGGTCCAGTTGGCCATGGACACTGTATATATATACTGTATGAGTAACACATGTGCAGACACATGTGGGTGTTTTCAGTCCCTGTGCTCTATTTAGAGTTTGTTAATTCATTTTTCTTGGAGCTAGAAAATAAACTTGAGGAGGTTTTTTTTTTTCTTTTTCTTAGTGCATTTATCATGTCTCATTGTAACTTGCCTAGATGTGGGATAATTTTTAAAGGAATTTTTAAAGATAAATTGTATATTTGGCTGATAATAGAACTAGATAGTTATCAGTATACACTAAGAAGAAAATGGGCATAAAATGTGTTATTCTTAGCATGAGAGATGATGATACTGATCCTGTATAAGGAACACATCCTCTCAGACTTTTTGTTTGTATGTTTGGCACAGCAGTGGAGAGTCATAGTGTTATGGATTCTATTGCATGAAATAATAGCAGCGGGTCATAGCTCGAAGTCCATAGTGGAATCAGACAGATCTTAGGTCACAGCTTCAGTCATCTAATTACTGTGAAAGCAGTCTTGAAAATGGTAATTTTTCCCTTTCCCTTTATTTTCTCATCTATCAAATGAGAAATGTAGTATCTACTTTGGATGTTACCTTTATGATTAAATGAATAATTATGTAAATTGCCTACAATAGTGACTAGCACATAGCTAGTCACAGTCTGACGTTTATCATTATTACTACCATGAAGATAGTGATTGCTGTTGGCATTTTAATAGGTCTGTTTAAGAATAGAATCTCTGGTTATTAAATAGGATGTTCCTGTGAACAAAGCCAACTCTCCAACATGAGGATCAAATTTACAATTTTGACATCACAGACTTTATTCCAACTACTAAACTTGGCAGTAGCCACTCTCATATTCACTGCTTTAAAAAAAATGCACATTCTGGGGCACCTGGGTGGCTCAGTTGGTCAAGCGACCAACTCTTGATTTCGGCTTAGATCACGAGCTCGTGGTTCATGGGATTGAGACCCGCGTCAGGCTCTGCCCTCATAGCACAGAGCCTGCTTGGGATTCTCTCTCTCCCTCTCTCCCTATGCCCTTCCCCTGCTGGTGCTCTCTCTTTCTCTCCCTAAATAAATAAATAAAGCTTTAAGAAGTAAAATAATAAGATAAAAAATAAATTTAAAAATGCACATTCTCAATCATGCTAAATGATTTACCTACTGAAAAATATCTAGGTCCCCATTCATTGGCCATCTCTCTTCAAATCATTTTGCTCTGTATTTCTCTTTCTCCCTTTTTTCTTGAAACTCCGTCTAACTCATCTGTCCTTTAAGCGATTCCAGTTGAGTAATGACACTTGCTCTAGATAGAACTATAAATGTAGACATAACCTACTGTCCTAATGTACAACAAACCTCTGAGTTTACTGCTAAACTCAAATAGAAATTTACAGTAACTCCCTCTACTTCTCTCTCTCTCTCTCCTCTTCTTTCTTAACATCCTGAAATTTAATATCTTCTCCAAATACTTTATTAAGTTACTTTGCTCAGAGATGAATAGTCACCTCTTGATTGTGACATTCAGTGGGGCTCTCCTTAGTCATCTTTCTCTTTGATGTTTCTACAGCTTCTGACACAGTTGACCAACAGCTTCTCTTAAGACAATCCAATCTATAGTATCCCACTGCACCAGAACAGCCAGATCTCCTGCTTCTCATGATTATTCCTTCTCTGGATTCTTTTTTATTTTCAGTCTCTCTCTGTAAAGCTATGACTGTCCTAGGTTGAGTCCTTCACTTCTCTTCTCCCTCAGTTTTCTCCAGTTACTTCCGTGGCTGATATTACCACCTCACAAAAGTACTCCAATAGCCTAGTCTTTCTCTGGAGTTCCAGATGTTCCAGAGTTCTTCGTAGCTATTTTCACTAGTGTGTTATGTTGGTTTATTAACTATAATTTGCAAAGTTCAACTTGTCAGAACTATCAAAGATTGACTTCCATTTTCTTATAAACTATGGCTGCATTCTCACATAAGTAATAAGAAAGCTTTGTGTTCAGCGTTTATTTCCCCACTTTCTATTGGTTGTCAGTTCAGAATTTTTTTTTTCTTCACAGGGCCTACTGGGTTTTCTTCCTTAGCCTCTCGTGCTCCTGGAGTTTTACGTTAGCCTCCCAATACAGTTAATCCACAACTCGCCTATCACTAGGCATCCTGCATACTGCTCTCAGATAAAGCTTCTCCAAACCAGTAGCTGATTACCAAGTTCCTTGCTATGTTCACTAACTTCAGATGGATCAATTCAGTATCTTGGGCATGCATTAAAACTCTGTTTAACAGAGACATATTCTAACATCTTGTCTTTCTGACAGAATTATTTTACTTATGTGCTACGAAAAATATTACTTGCTCTCTTACTTTCTTTTTATACATATCCAATTCCTGTCCATTCTTCAATGACGGTTCATCTGTTTACTTCTTTGTGAAGCTTTACTTGACTCTATGAAATGTTCTCTTCTCTGAATCTGAGTGATTCGAGTTGATGCCAGTGTTTCTCAAACATGAGTAATGTGTATAACAATTTAAAAGGAAAACAAAAAATCCCACTTCCGTGAGTTAAAAATAGCAGTGAACCTTTTGAGTGGTGATGTGATCAGAGGAGGAGGACTATTGAAAGAGTGGTTTATATTTTTAAGCAGGGAGTTAACCATACCATCCTGCATATGATCTTTTTTACATAATTTTTGAATTTTTATTTAACTCTTATTTGTATAAGGTATTTTTGCTTTGTCTTTCCAATTTCATTATGAGCTCATTGAGTGCACAGATCTTCTTACCGTACTTCTGTGTATAAATCGGTAGTAAACATTTGCTTCTCCTTTCATCACTGCCTACTTTGTTCATGTTTTAAAATGATAGTGCTTGTATGATTTGGTTTGCTAACAATGGTTAAATTAGCATTCACTAATGGAAATTATGATTCAGAAAACACATGCCTCAGATTCCAGCCACTGCCACCGAGTGGGGTGTGTGCTACCTTTGGGTTTACACCAATAATTATAAACAGTTTCGGGACTTTGAAAAATTAATCAACAGATGACAACTCTGGGATCAGTTATTGTGCCTTTTTACTAGCTTTGAAGTTAGACTTTGATCAGATACATGGAGCTACACAAATGTTAAGAATATTAAATATTACCTATATCGTATATATTATAATATTAAAATTTAAAGCATAACTACTCAGCCAAAAGTAGGTGTCTGCTGTATAACTATTCTGCACTAAACGAAGTCTTAATTGTGACTTTTTCTGCAAACTCTCTTTTATCTCACTTTATCTTTTTATCTTATTTCACTTCAAGTGTTACATTCCTCACCTCTGCTAAAAAGGGTTTTGTAACAAACACTTAATTGGGTCTTGCTTCTAGCTGTTTGACATCTTTCAGGGTGATGCTAGATTGCAAGGTGCAACCTTACACTTTCTTGTCTCCAGCCCCAGTTTCAAAACCCTTTGTTAATCTCCTCAGGGAGTGCTTGGGTCTCTCTTGTCCTATTCTCAGCTACTCCAGGGACCTGATCCTGCCAGCTGCATTCTCTCCAGCTGCCTTTCCTTCTTCCCCACACATTCTAACTTAAAGGAGTTTCATGAGCAAAATCTGAAGTTACTTATTTTGTTCCATGATCTACTGTGTTTCTAACTGAGCTCTACCATTGTGGTTTTTCCCCCTCCTACTTCATAAGAGATCAATGAGCCTTTATGTTTTTTAACATAAAATACAGTTACCTTTTTGCCCTTAATACTGCTATAGACTCGACATCTTTCCAAGAAATTTCTCTCCTTTCAATGATGACAGCGTTTGTATGCATTTTTTTCTTTCCATAAGTATTGAAATACCATAGCAAAAACCAAAACCAAAAGAAAAAAAGAGCAAGTCAATTAAGAAAAGAGATCTTAAGAGAATTCAAGATTTATTTCGTGTTTTATTGACTCTTACAGGTTATGTAGAAGTGCTGGTGATACCTGCTGGAGCAAGAAGAATCAAAGTTGTGGAGGAAAAGCCGGCACATAGCTATTTAGGTAACCTGACACAGAGCCGATCCAAGTACGAGCCCCACTCCCTGCCCTGACAGTTCTGTAATGACGAAGACATCAATCTGTTTCTAGTTACATGTTTGAATTTCCCAGGAAGCACCTCTTGTCATATCGAGTAGGAATTTCTTTCCTTCTCTCCCAGGGACTTATCAGAGCAAAAGCAATCTGGTTGTCTATTTGGGAGAGTATAAATTGCTTCCACATGTTATGCTGTGTTATAAAAAAAAAACTCATTGGAGGATTTAGGTATGTTTTATTTCACACATATGCAGATATATTTCATAAACATGTTTATTTCATATATTCATATACACATTCACATTTATTGCACGTACAAATGCATGTATGTGTGTGTCTGTACATATGATTCCTTTAGAAATAGAAAATCTTGTGGGATTCTCAAAAAAATTCTGACATACTGAAAGGAATTAATGTTTTGATGGGAAATGATGCTGTTTCCTTTCCTCACTTTAGGTATATTCACCTATGAAGAGAGTATTTTAAATGTTTAAGTATTGCATATGGAAAGAATTGTATCAGCTATTTTAATTAGGCCAATTAATGATTTAAATATATGAAAGAAAATGCTCAGTTGCCAAAATACATATTGCTCACATATCAAAATTACAAACCAATTCAGTCATATGAAATGGTTGTCTGTAGTTATGGCATCCATGGATTAAAGGGATCTAATGTGATTCGGTCTGGTAAAAGAGTAAATATTCTACGTATAAGATCATATCATCTGCAATCAGAAATAATTGTACTTCTTCCTTTCTGATTTGAATGCCTTTTATGCTTCTGAATTCTGTTTGTTAGTGTATTGTTGAGAATTTTTAAATCAGTGTTCATAAGGGAAGCTCCTGTGTAGTTTTCTTTTTTTTGTAGTGTCTTTGTCTAGCTTTGGTATCAAAAATGAGCTAGGCCTCCTAAGTGTGAATTAGGAAGTCTTCCCTCCAATTCAGTTCTTTGGAAAATGTGAGGATTGATGTTGGTTTTTCTTTAGATGTTGCATAGAATTTACCAGTGAAGCCATTTTAACATCCAGTAATTTTCTTTTGGGGGATACTTTTGATTACTGATTCGGTATCCTTTCTAGTTATAAGTATTTGTGATTCGGTCTTGGTAAGATTTGTGTTTCCGGGAATTTGTACACTTCTTTTAGGCTATCCAATTTGTTAGCATATAAATTTTTAAAATTTCTATTCAAGTATAGTTGCCATACAATATTCTATTAGTTTCAGGAGCACAATATAGTGATTGGACAGCTTTATACATTGCACAGTGCTCACCGTGACGAATGCAGTAGCCTTCTGTTACCATATGGTCTTATTATAATTAACTGTATTCCCCAAGCTGTAATTTTAATCCCCATGACTTATTTATTTTATAACTGGAAGTTTGTACCTCTTAATCCCCTTTACCTATTTTGCCCATCCCTCCACTGCCCTATCTGTCTAGCAGCTACCAGTTTGTTGTCTCTATTTATAAGTCTGTTTCTGTTCGTTCATTTGAGATTACATATAAATGAAATCAAGCCATCTTTCTCTGTGTGACTTATTTCACTTTGCATAATACTCTAGGTCCACCTATGTTGTCAGAAATGACAAGAGCTCACTCTTTTTTTTTTTTGACTGAGTGATATTTCATTGTGTATATGCACCACACCTTCTTTATCTCTTGGTGGACACTGAGATTACTTCCGTATCTTGGCCATTGTAAATAATGCTGCAATAAACATGGGGGTGCTTATATCTTTTTGAGTTAGTGTTTCCATTTTCCTTGGGTAAATAGAAGGTGGAATTACTGGATTGTGTGGCATTTCTATTTTTAATTTTTTGAGAAATTTCTGTACTGTTTTCCACAGTGGCTACACCAGTTTGCATTCCCACCAACAGTACATGAGGGTTTCTTTTTCTCCACAACCTAGTTAAAGCTTCTTACTTCTTGTCTGTTTGATATGAGCCATTCTGACTGGCATGAGAATTATTACAGTACATTTCTTACCATCCTTTTTATTTCTGCAGCATCGGTTGTAACGTCCGTACTTTCATTTCTGACTTTTCAGTTGTCTTTTTTATTTTTCTTTCTTAGTCAAGTGCAGCTAAAGTTTTGTTGATTTTGTTCATCTGTTCAATGAACCAATTTCTGGTTTTGTTAGTTTTCTCTATTATTTTTCTATTCTCTATTTCATTTATCTCTGCTCTAATCTTTTTTATTTTCTTCTTTAGGTAGTGTTGGGTTTAGTGTGTTCTTTTTCTAGTTCCTTAGCTTATAAAGTCAGGTTGTTAACATTATAAGATCTTCTTTTTTTAATGTAAGCATTTGTTGCTCTAAGTTTCCATCCACAGCACTGCTTTTGCTGTGTCCTCTACATTTTGCTATGTTGTGTTTTCATTTCCATATGTCTCAAGATATTTTCTAATTTCCCTCATAATTTCTTCTTTGATCCATTGGCTTTTTGAGTGTTGTTTCATTTCCACATTAATGAATTTTCCAGTTTTCCCTGTTACTGATTTCCAAATCATTTCCCATTGTGGTCAGAGAAGATACTTTGTATGATATCTATCTTTTAGGACACAGGTATCTTTTTGGGGGCCATTATTTATGACCCCACAGTCACTAATTTCTATCCAGGAGTTTATACCACAACTAGTTCTTCTTGATAGTTGCCTTTACCACTCTAATACATCAGCAAGTCCTGTCAGTTACTCAGATATATCACTTTCTCTCCATAACCACCGTGACCCACAATCAAGCTACTCTCTGCTGCATTGTCCTGCTTTATTTTCTTCAGAGCACCTACCACCATCACCATCTGAATTTTCTTCTCTGTTTGCATACGTGCTTTTATATTGTGTATCTTCCAGTGTTAATTTTGAAGGCAGGGATCATTTTTCTCAGAGCTTTATCCACAGTAACTAAAGCAGACTCTGGCACACAGAAAGTAATAAAGACTTTTTTTGAGTGAATTTTAATTAAAAAAAGATGGTTCATACTTGTACAGTAATTAGTATGGGTGAGTTCTTTAAATATATCTGCTAAATAGATCTTCACATGTCTGTGAAGTAGGCACCACTAATTTTTTTTTTTTAAATCAAAAACTAGAGGACCAGAGAATTTAAGTTTCTTTCCCAAGATCATACATCTAAAAAACCATGATCTTAAATTTAAGCCCAAGCAGTGTGGCCATTTTATCTTGTTCCTACTGTCTCTTTTTACTTTTTGTTGTTTTTTTTTTTTTTAATTCATTGTCTCTCACATTAGGCTTGTGATTTTAAAGTACATGTCCTATCTGAACAAATTTTCCTTGAACTTCGCCCCCAATCTCCCTCTTTCCCCCCATTTCTTAACTAATGAGATCAATTGTATAGCGTTAACTCAGGGGAATATAAATCATGAAGTGGTGGTTTTCTTCTCCCGTCACTACCTCCAAGTATGCCAGATCCCATCTTCTTTCCCTTATGTATATCTCTAAACATAAATCTCCAACCACTTTTTGTTATGAGAAGAGCATTTAATTTAAAAACGGAATCCCATGTCTTTTTTTTTTTTTTAATTTGTTTAATGTTTATGTACTTTTGAGAGAGAGAGAGAGAGAGAGAGAGAGACAGGGCATGAGCTGGGGAGGGGCAAAGAGAAAGGAAGACACAGAATCTGAAGCAGACTGCAGCCTCCGAGTGTCAGCACAGAACCCAACATGGGCCTAGAACCCACGAACCGTGAGGTCATGACCTGAGCCAAAGTCAGACGCTTAACCGACTGAGCCACCCAGGCACCCCAGAATCCCATGTCTTTGTTATGTCTCTGGCCTCATGATTGTCACTTTTCTTTGTGCTTAGAATTAGGCATAAGTTACTAGGGTCTCTTACTTTTTAAGGAAATAGCATGAGTGCTCCTGAACCGTCTGAATACTACTTGGGAGATTCATGTTGAAAATAGAAGTTTCCTTACTTCTTAACTGAATCAATCACAGCTACCCTGATGAATTAGGAGAAGGGTGCAAGGATGAAGAGAAAGTGGCCAGTGGTATGATCCAGTCACAGACTGGGAATGGGAAGAACTCAGTGGCTTCTAGAGACATTGAAGTAGTTGAGCTCATGAAACTTGGTGAGAATGGGTGTGTGGATAGAAAGTAAAGTTCAAGGATCACTTCTAGGTTTATGGATTAAACAACTGGGCAAATAATAATGGCATTTACTGAGATAGCACACATGGATAAGAGGAAATTTTGGGGAAAAATGGCACAGTATTAAAATCCTCGATTTTAAGCCTAAAATCTTAGATTTCAAGCCTATCGTAGAGAACACATATCATAAACCACATTTCCTAAAGGCTTCTTTGGACATTGGAAGGAAGTTATTGAAAATCTTTATCTGAAATAGCATCAGGAAAATGGATTATTTCCTGGAAAGCTGATCTTTAACAAATTAACTTGTCTATATAAAACTATAATTTCATTGGAGACAGTTAATTCCCTCCCAATACAATTATTCTTTTATATTACTCGCTGAATTGTATTCCCATATGTAATTATTATCTGCATTTCTGAATATCATGGCTCAGTTTTGTTAATAATTAATCAGGAAGTCCAAAATGGAGAGTAGTTCAGATCGACCATATGTTATATCTTTAAAAAAATCACTGTAGCTTATGATTTTTAAAAGTCTAATAAAAAAGGTCATATGGGTCCATTTACCTTGCCTGCAGTTTTGCCTGCAAACCACTATGGAAAAACTTTTCACTAAAAACACTTTAAACTGTTGAGCAAATTACAAAAGGAGGAAAAAAAGAACACTTTTTTAAACTTACCTCTAAAATGGAAAGAAATTAAGGAGCCTTCACGTGCCAAAAACAAAGTAAGAACAGGAAGCCAAGTATTAGCCTGACCGAAATCCCACTTAAGCTTAATCCTGGTGACCAGTTTAGATTTTGAGCCCCAGGATACACGGTGGACAGAAAACAAAGCCTGAGGCTCTATAAAG